GGACACTACACTTTAAGAAGGATGACAAGGCATTGGAGAGGCTGCAAAGGAGATTTACCAGGATGGTACCAGGAATGAGGGACTTCAGTTATCAGGAGAGGCTGAAGAAACTAGGATTATTCTCCTTGGAGCAGAGAAGGTTAAGAGGAGACTTAATAGAAGTTTTCAAAATTATGAAGGCTTCAATTGGGTGAACAGGGATAAACTATTTTCATTAGCGGGTGGGTTGGTAACCAGAGGACACCGATTTAAAATAGTTGTTAAAAGAACTGGAAATAGTTGTTAAACAAAGGGAAGGTGAGGAGAAATGTTTTCACAGTGAGTTGTTCGGATCTGGAATGCATTGCCTGAAAGGGTGGTGGAAGCCAATTCAATAACAACTTTTATGAGAGAAGTAGATAATTATTTGGGGAGCGCAAGTTTGCAGGGCTATGGGTAGAGAGCGGGGGAGTGAATTGGATAGTTCCTTTCAAAGAGCCAACACAGACACAATGGGCCAAATGGCCTCCTTCTGTGCTGTATAGTTCTATGATTCTTTAATATGATTACCATATTGAATTTAATGCCAAATAATAATCCTTGGATTTGATGTTGTATGTCGTTGAGATGTCCTCAAAGCGCTTCACAGGAAATACTGTAAAGTGGATTGATTGACATAATTTAAGTCAGGAGCTAAAGACAAATTACTGTTTGAGGCAGAGAATTGCACATTCCAACCACCGTCTACGTAAATATTTCCTTTACTAACTTCCCCTTTAATGCTTTTTGTGAATCTCTTAAATAAATCTGTGCCCTCTCTTCGCTGACTTGCTGACCTTCTAGCTATCTATCTAATTTGCCCATTTCAATTTTACTTTTTATTTATATTTCCAATGAATCTTAAATCATGTACACATATTTTCAAAAGAACATTCTGAATATATTTTTATTCCAGTCTGAATCTCACTCTCCGTTACAACTGAGAAAAGATTGTGCTGAACATTCTAGAAAAATAATCAGACGCCACGATCTTTCGCCACAAATTTCTGAAGGATCTTCTCATTCAGAGCCTTGAGACAGCCTCCCGACGTGAAAGGCGCTTACAAATGGAATTTTGTTGTTGTTGTTCTCCAGCTGAACTGTGTTAATCATTGTGTAAAAATGACCCATCATCATTTAATCCATCAGAGTTCCGATGAGAACGGATTTATGGTAACAAATGCGGTAAAAAAGAAGGTCCTTACACACAGATCCAATCACTACTAAAGGGACTGTATAATGCAAAATGCAAGAGTGGGAATTCAGGCAGGAATAACGAAGCTGTCAGCACTGCTGTCACCATATTATACTCAACTGACTGGTTTATTTACACATAAAGACCCAACTGCAAAGCAGATACAATATACAATACAAATTACATTTGTATAGTGCCTTTCACGTTGGGAGGACTTCCCAAGGCGCTGAACAGTCAGGGATTTGGACCCAAGCTGAGGGTCGGGGAGGGTGGATGAGCAGGAGGGTGGCCGAAGACTCAGTCGAAGAGGAGGGTTTTGAGACTTGCCTCGAAGGAGGCAAGGGAGGGAGCGAGGCAAAGGGAATGTGGGATGGAGTTCCATAGGGTGGGGCAGAAAAGCTGATGACCCGGCCACCGATGGTGGAGCGGGCTGGGCGGGGGATGTGGAACAGGTCAGAGCCAATGGAGGGAGCCAACAGGTTGATACAAGGTCGCAGAGGTAGGGAGGGGCCAGGTCGTGGAGGACCTTGAAGGCGAGGACGTGGATTTTGAACTCTATCCTCTGGGGGATGGGGAGCCAGTGGAGCCAGGCGAGAGTGGGGCGGATGGGGTCACAGAACCTGGTGTTGGAGAGGACACGAGCCTCAGAGTTCTGGATGATCTGCAGCTTGTAAGGGGAAGAGTTGGGAAGGCAAACAAGCAGGGAGTTGGCGTAATCAAACATAGATGTGATGAATGGTGGGTGCGGTTTTCAGCGGCCCGAGGGGACAGAGAGTTGCGGAACGATGTTACGGAGGTGGGGGAAGGCAGAGCGTGTCATGATTAAACTGCATTTTGAATAATGTGCATTCTTGGGCAACACCACCCAGTCTCATTGATCTTGGGAATCGATATTGTGCACTATTTTCACTGTATATTCAGTATTTCCGCAACTCGGTTTTCTCTAGTTTACCTTTATCTCGTACTAGCTGTACCTATTGCAGCTATACTTGCAACCAAAGGGTCCAATATGGAATGTAGATTGATACACAGACAGACATTTCATCTTTATCTATTCTCATATGGGAGGACTCGGGACTTTAAAAATGTACTTTTGTTGTTGTTGTTGCCACGACTTAGCTTTGTCTGTGTTCTTCATTTTGTTCCTGCTGCTTGGCTACATGTGTGCTCTGTGATGCTGATGCCACAGCTGGCATGGCCATCAGATGTAGTATGTGGGTACACACATAGGTGCTCTGTGATGCATGATGCCGCAGTGCTACTTTGACTTGGCAGCCACCAGGTGTAACTACAGCAAAAAATGCAAAACTGAAAATAACTCATCAATGATAGGAGATGCCTGAAAGCAAATATGCCCATGTCACTCCCAGTTGTAAGACCGTTCCAATGAGGTATAAATCATGTCTCTATGTCAATCGGTTATTGAGATCCTTCTTGAAGTGCAGACATACATTGTCGTTTTATTAGTATATATAGATATATATGTGTATAGATGCACTCTCAACCAGAGTTTCGGGGCGCAGTGGCTGAAAGCGTGACCTCTAATGGTGGTGCAAATGGTGCGAGTGACGACCAGGCCGGTGCCAGTCAAGCAGAGGCAGGTGTGGTGATGAATTGGGGAGTGAGGTAGGGAGGTGCCAGAGAGTGACGGGATTTGAAGATGAGTCCTGCAGCTCAGTGGTTAGAGCACTCGCTTTGCAAGTGAGAGACCAGAGTTCAATTCCAGGCAGGGCGAAACCTTGGGCAAGTTTCCTTACTCCACACACCTAATAATAATCCCTCCAAAACCAAAAACAATAATAATAATAAAATTGGTCATTTTCAATCTATGACTGTTTGTGGGACATTGCTGTGCGCAATTGGCTGCCGCGTTCACCCACAAATATACAGTCAATTCACTTTACAGTGTGTTCTGTGAAGTGCTTTGGGACGTCCTCCCGACATGAAAAGCGCTATATCAAATGCAAGGATTATTATTATTATGAAGATCGAAGTCGATCCATTCAGTGATGGGGAACCAGTGGAACCTGGTTAGAACTGGTGAGATGTGGGTATGGAGTTTGGTCCGGTGAGTATGCGGCTGGCAGAATTCTGAATAAGCTAGATCTTATGAATAATGGAGCTGGGGAGACCGGCAAGGAGTTTGTTTGAGTAATCCAGGCGGGAGATGACAAACGCACAAGGCTTTCAGCTGCATTTGGAGTAAAGTATGGTCGGGGGCAGGCAATGTGGCAGAAGTGGAAGAAGGCGGCCCAGATCAGGGACCGGATGTAGGGGAAGAAGGACAGCTGGGGGTCGAACTGGACGCCGACATTGCGCACTGGTTCGGTGAATGTGAGGGAGAGCCCAGGGAGGTTGAGGAGTTCAGATCTGGAGGAGTGAAGATGTTGATGGCAGCCAAGGAGTATGGCTTCCGTCTTGTCCACATTCAGCTGCAAGAAGTTTGCACTCATCCAGGCCCTGATGTCAGCCAGACAAGCTGATAGAACATTGGTGGACTTGGAGTTGGTACTGGAGGAGGCAAAGTAGATTTGTGTGTCATCTGCATACATGTGAAAGTTCACTCCATGTCTGCTGATGACATTGCCCAGAGGGAACATATAGATAAGGAAAAGAAGAGGGCCAAAGAAGGAGCACTGGGGTACCACGCAGGTGACCGGGCAGGGAGTGGGGGGAGAAACCATTTGTCTAGATGAAATGGAGACGGTTGCCTAAGTAGGACTCGAACCGTGCGAGTGTGGTCCTATTAAGGTGGATGAGGGAGGAGAGGAGGTGGAGGAGGATGGCATGGTCGACTGTTGAATGAGGCAGAGAGACCCAAGAGGATGAGGAGGCAGAGGGAGTCCTTGGAGAGGACATTGTTTGTGACTTGGACAAGTCTTGGCTTCTGTATTTTGGGCAGGGCAAAAACCAGACTGCAGGGGCTTGAGAAGGGAGAGGTGTGCCTGAAGTTGACCTGCAACAATGCATTCCAGGATTTTGGCAAGGAAGGGTTGGAACTGGGACAGTAGTATGAGAGATTAGAGGGTCTTTCGAGGAGGCGTGTGATAACAAGGGTTTTCGGGGGAAGTTGGGGGGGGAGTTGAGTGACCAGTAGATGGGTGGGGAGTGGGTTGAGGTAGCAGGTGGTGAACTTCATGTGTGATTGTGGTCGCAGATAGATCACTTTAATGCATACAGTTTGAACCATGGACTCAAAACAGCTGAACGTTTCTACCTGGCTCTACAAATAATAATAATAATAATAATAATCCTTGCATTTGATATAGCGCTTTTCACGTCGGGAGGACGTCCCAAAGCGCTTCACAGAAGACACTGTAAAGTGAATTGACTGTATATTTGTGGGAGAACGCGGCAGCCAATTGCGCACAGCAATGTCCCACAAACAGTCGTGGATTGAAAATGACCAATTTTAATTATTGTTTTTTTTTGGAGGGATTATTATTAGGCTCTGTGTGGAGTAAGGAAACTTGTCCAAGGTTTCGCCCTCTGCCTGGAATTGAACTCAGGTCTCTCACTTGCAAAGCAAAAGAATAGAAGTAAGATAAATACATTGTTCCTGAACTTATATCAACGAATAATTTAAATGCGCCAATCTTAACTACTGAGTAAGAGATGGATGCCCACCAGTCCACAGAATTTACTCGTGGGAGAAGAGTGATCTCAGCTAAAATGTACACGACTGTGTGCAATCAATTTAACACGGTCGGAAGCTGTCACATAAACGTGGTGGGGATACATTCAATGGGACTGGTGTTTTGCTTCACAGAACAGTATGTTCACATACCTTTAACTTCTCATTGGTGTTGTACTTGTCATTCTTAAAAGCCACAATGTTTTGGTGCTTCTGCGGCCTCCTCCGCGCGACGTTCCCTCTCGCGCTGCTCATAACGGGTTCGTGACCACTTTTGACAGCCTTTTTTAAAAAAAATGGACGTTTTATATTTGTTCGGTTGTTTTTTTGAAAGAAAGAGAAAGAAAGAGAGAGGGAGGAAGTGAGGGGGGAGGGAGGGAGGGGGTGAAGTGTCTTTATATAAACGGCTGACACGCGAGAAACTGACTCCCGGCCACGCGCCGCGTGAACCGCTCGTCACCGGAAGTTGGGGCGAATGGAGCCGACCACGTGACGGCGGCACCGATGCAATGATGTCATGCACCGTGTCTGTGATTGGCTCAGCGCCGCCCCCCCCTAACACCCGCCCCCATCTCACCCCAACACCGTCCGCCCGGCTCACACCCTGAATGGATGTGCGCCCTGTCAATACACGACCCAGGAGCCAATCAGCGCCAGGGGGCGGTTGCGCGATCAGATCCCGCCTCTTGCCCAAGCCGATTGGTTCCGCGAGGTGTCAATCAACGAGCGCGCACACAGTTTTGCCGTTAACCCTTTTCACGCCCTCGACGCCATTCGCCGAGTGCTCCGCCACCGCCGCCTTCACTGAGCCGACGGTGGCGCGATTATACAATCGGCGGCGCGGAAGAATAGAGTCCGCCCATTCCCCCCCTCTCCCCCCTCCCCCGCGCGGCTCTCGCTGCCTTCCGCCCTCGGCTCCTCCACTGGTGACCGCGGCTCAATGGGAGCGTCTCTGTCAGACACACCGTCGGTCATCACCATCACCATCCCGACCTGACACACACAACACGGTTCCCGAGGAGCACCGCCCGCGCCCATCTCTCGCGGTGACAGGAATTGGCTGTTTGTTGAGAGGGTACACAGTACAACCAGATCTCAGGGAGGAGGAGGAGGGAGAGGTGAGTGAGTGAGCCCCGGGAGGCCGGAGAGCGGAGCCCAGTCAACTGTGAGCCGGAGCCGGAGGGGGGGGGAGGCATTGTCTTGTTCTGGGGGTCGGGGAGAGGATTCCGGGGGATCTCTCTTGAGAGGCGTGAGATAGGCCCCCGTCCCGAGCGTGTGTGTGTGTGTGTGTGGAGGGGGGGGTGTCCTGTGTATGTGGAGGGGGGGGTGTCCTGTGTATGTGGAGGGGGGGGTGTCCTGTGTATGTGGAGGGGGGGGAGCGTCCTGTGTATGTGGAGGGGGGGTGTCCTGTGTATGTGGAGGGGGGGTGTCCTGTGTATGTGGGGGGGGGGGTCCTGTGTATGTGATGGTGGGGGGGCGTCCTGTGTATGTGGAGGGGGGGGCGTCCTGTGTATGTGGAGGGGGGGGGCGTCCTGTGTATGTGGAGGGGGGGGGGCGTCCTGTGTATGGTGGGGGGGGGGTGTCCTGTGTATGTGATGGTGGCGTCCTGTGTATGTGGAGGGGGGGGGTCCTGTGTATGTGGAGGGGGGGGGCGTCCTGTGTATGTGGAGGGGGGTGTCCTGTGTATGTGATGGGGGGGGGGGGCGTCCTGTGTATGTGATGGTGGGGGGGCGTCCTGTGTATGTGATGGTGGGGGGGGCGTCCTGTGTATGTGATGGGGGGGGGCGTCCTGTGTATGTGGAGGGGTGGGGGAGGGGGGCGTCCTGTGTATGTGATGGGGGGGGCGTCCTGTGTATGTGATGGGGGGGGGGCGTCCTGTGTATGTGGATGGTGGGGGGCGTCCTGTGTATGTGATGGTGGGGGGGGGGGGCGCTGTGTATGTGATGGTGGGGGGGGGCGTCCTGTGTATGTGGGGGGGGGGCGTCCTGTGTATGTGATGGGGGGGGGCGTCCTGTGTATGTGGAGGGGGGGGGGGCGTCCTGTGTATGTGTGATGGGGGGGGGCGTCCTGTGTATGTGATGGTGGGGGGGGGGGGGGCGTCCTGTGTATGTGTGGGGGGGGGGCGTCCTGTGTATGTGATGGTGGGGGGGGCGTCCTGTGTATGTGGAGGGGGGGGGGGTCCTGTGTATGTGATGGTGGGGGGGGGGGCGTCCTGTGTATGTGATGGTGGGGGGGCGTCCTGTGTATGTGGAGGGGGGGGTGTCCTGTGTATGTGATGGTGGGGGGGGGGGGGGGTCCTGTGTATGTGGAGGGGGGGGCGTCCTGTGTATGTGGAGGAGGGAGTGTCCTGTGTATGTGATGGTGGGGGGGGGCGTCCTGTGTATGTGAGGGGGGGGCGTCCTGTGTATGTGATGGGTGGGGGGGTCCTGTGTATGTGGAGGGGGGGGGCGTCCTGTGTATGTGATGGTGGGGGGGGGGCTCCTGTGTATGTGATGGTGGGGGGGGCGTCCTGTGTATGTGATGGTGGGGGGGGCGTCCTGTGTATGTGATGGGGGGGGGGCGTCCTGTGTATGTGATGGAGGGGGGGGGGGCGTCCTGTGTATGTGGAGAGGGGGTGGAGGTTGTATGTGGAGGGTGTATGTGGAGGTGGGGGAGGGTGTGTCCTGTGTATGTGGGGGCCGGTGTGTTCTGTATGTGGAGGTGGAGCGGGGGGGGGGGGGGGGTGTCCTGTGTGTGTGGAGGGGGAGGGGTATCCTGTGTGTGTGGAGGGGGAGGGGTATCCTGTGTGTGTGGAGGGGGGAGGGGTATCCTGTGTATGTGGACGGGGGGTGTGCCCTGTGTATGTGGAGGGGGTGTGCCCTGTGTATGTGGAGGGGGGTGTGCCCTGTGTATGTGGAGGGGGTGTGCCCTGTGTATGTGGAGGGGGGGTTGCCCTGTGTATGTGGAGGTGCCCAGTGTACGCGGAAGGGGGTGGAGGGGTGTGTCTTGTGGAAGTGGGGGGGGCGGGGTCCTGCGGAGGTTGGGGTGCTATCCTGCGGAGGTTGGGGGGTTGCCCTGCGGCGGGGTGTGTGTGTCCTGCGGAGGTTGGGGGGGGGTGTCCTGCGGAGGTTGGGGGGGGTGTCCTGCGGAGGTTGGGGGGGTGTCCTGCGGAGGTTGGGGGGAGTGTGTCCTGTGGGGGTGTGTGTCCTGTGGGGGTGTGTGTCCTGTGGGGGTGTGTGTCCTGTGGGGGTGTGTGTCCTGTGGAGGTGAGGGAGGGAGTTAAATGACCCTCCCCCCCCCCCCCACACCACAAAATGTGGGAAACGTGTTGAATAGTATAGTATTTTGTATAGTAATAAGGGAATAAAGTGGGGGATTTATTTGTGGGGGAGGACACGCATTAGCATTGCAAACTGTGCGGGTTATATCCAGGTGGTTTGGTACATCCTCCCGACGTGAAAGGCGCTCTATAAATATAATTGTTGTTGTTGTTTCTTGTGGCGGCTTCCTCACAGTTGATGCTGACCCGAGGATTGGGGGGGGGACGGAGGGAGGGTGAGGGAGCTTCTCCTGTACTCTCCTCTTGCCACCTGTGAGGAGATTATCTGCATCGCCTAGTGTCTTTTTTTAAAAAAAAAATATTTGTGGGGCGAGAGGGAGAGAGATCGGATCGTTTCAAAACGATTTAAAGAAGGTGTTGGAGCAGAAGGGAAATAAAGTTAAATAAATGTTCTCCAACTGTGCAATCGGACCTTCTCTGGGATGCATTCAAAATGTATTGATCGTTTTTGTTTCATTTATTATTAATATTATTATTATTAGACTCTCCAACCTGACCCCTCCCCATGAGATGCATTCAATGTGCTGATGTTCCTGTGTGTTGATTTGTTGTGGTTATTGTCAGGACCTCTTGCTTTCGGCCTAGTCCGACACCGGGGCTTTTTTGGGAATGAATAACCTATCACTGAGCGAGCTGTGCTGCCTCTTCTGCTGCCCTCCCTGCCCGGGGCGCATCGCCTCCAAGCTGGCCTTCCTGCCGCCAGAGCCCACCTACGCGCTGATGGCGGATGAGTCTGGCAGCCGCTGGAGCCTGCACCTGTCTGAGCGGGCCGACTGGCAGTACTCCCAGCGGGAGAAGGACTCCATCGAGGCCTTCATGACCAGGACCACCCGGGGCAACCGGGTCGCCTGCATGTTCATCCGCTGCTCGCCCACCGCCAAGTTCACGCTGCTCTTCTCACACGGCAACGCCGTGGATCTGGGACAGATGAGCAGTTTCTACATCGGCCTGGGCTCCAGGATCAACTGCAACGTCTTCTCCTACGATTACTCTGGCTACGGGGCCAGCGCCGGGAAACCTTCCGAGAAAAACCTCTACGCAGATGTGGACGCAGCCTGGCAAGTCCTGAGGACCAGGTAGGTTGGCCACACTGCAACACGGTGCTTATGACATTTGTTTTGCCTATTGTCTTCGTGGATTGAAGGTCTCTTGAAAATTACGAATAGCAATAACTCAACAGCAACAATATTGCATTTATACATTTCCTTATCACGTTAGAAGGACGTCCCAAGGCGTGGACAGTTTAAAGGGTTTGTACCCGAGCTGGGGATTGGAATCAAGAGGGCTGGGAGGGTCCCCGAAAGCATGGTCAAAGAGGAAAGCTTGAGACAGGGAAAAAAAACAACGATCTTAAAGTGTTCGGTTTCTCCTCGTTCTACTTATTCCACCCCCCTCCCCTCCATTACACCGTTACTATGTTTGCATAGTATTTGCATGTTAGGATTTAATTGTTTCGGGCAGTTTCTGCAACCAAAGTCATTTCAAGATTGCGGTTGTCAAATGTACTAGTTTCCTCTGGTCATTATTAGTTTGCTGTTTGTCTGTGACTGACCAGCCTTGTTAGGAAATGGTAGAAAGGCCTGGCATTGATGGTTATGATGCAACTTTCTTCAGGTTACGGTGGTTTGTGACAACTCCCACTTGGTTATATGCTATTATATCATTGGAAATCAGTGTCTCAGAAGTGACCCATTTATTTTAATAGTATATGTTATGTGCGAAAGGGCTCACTTTAAGGTGCTTAGGCTCCTCACCACCATTCTTCAAGTAAAAGAGCCAAGAAAGGTGATAATACCTGTCTAAAATAGCTGCCAAACATGACCGGCAAGACCTACAACTTCTCCCTGTGCCACTAATAAATGCCAGTATTTATTTTACCCAATGAATGAAGACAATAGTGCTGGTAAGTCTAATCATTGAGACAATTATTGAGGCTGTTTTCCTCCAACCCCCACTCTAAATCTACCATAAAACTTCGCTTTTCAACCTTGCCTATGGTCATCTTACCTACCCGTCTCTTTGTTTTTGCCCCTGCTCTGTGTCCGTCCTTGCCACTTTAAAGCACTCCAAGACATTGTTGTACCTGAAAGGTGTTCTATAAGTGAAAGTTGTTATGATGAAATTGGAATAAAACTGAATTATGGTGTCTGAAGTCAGTAAATCCAAAATTGAAGATTGACTAGATGGGTTAGGTCTCTTCAACCTTGAAAAGAGATGTCTTGAAAGAGTTATATATGATGAGCCAAAGAAAGTAAAGCAATATTTTAAAATACTTCAAGAAAATAGATCAAGAGGACATAGGTTCAGGGTTGTGAAGTGCACCAGGAAGTATTTCACTGCACCATGGGTATTCAAAAGCTAGAACAAGTTACCAGGAATAGTAGTTGAGGCCAGGGCAGTTGCCTAATTTCAAGAAACTGCGTGATGGAAAGCGGATAGATGAAATCAAGTCAGCAGAAGGCCCTTCATTATTTGAACCAATCTTGTAAAAATTGTCTTTATTTTATAATATGTTAATTGTTTGACTTATAGTAAGTAATAACGGTGTCTGCTGAAAAAATGCTTCATTTTTATGGATTGTGCACATCTGTTTACTCTTTACACAAAGTCTTAATTTTGCGGAGCATGTGTAAGTAGAAACTTGCATCTCTGATCTCATCAATTTTCACCTAATTATCTATTTTGATCTGAATTATCTGTACCATCTGGTTTTCTATTACAATTTGTGTAAGCTTGGTGGGAGGAAATGTAACCATGTGCGCTTTGAGTTGCTTAGAATTAGTGCAGTAATTTGTTCTTGTGACTAGTTCCCCATTCCTTTACGTGTGACTTAGTTGTATTCATTGAATAAAAGGAAACTCTGACAGGATCAATAACTTGACTTCTGACTGCATCAATGATCCTGTTATGTAATAATTCTCTTTCTCCCCCTTCCATTTACCAAAGTGAATTCTAGTAAATTTGAAATGTGAAATACTTTATCATAACTAGAGTATGGGTCAGCGTTTGAGGCTCAATTTGCTAGTCTAATAATGTAGAACCCAAATTTGTCTATGTTAAAGATTCTCTGTGAAAATTGACTATTTCAAAAATCTGCACGCTTCCTAAAGTCTCAGTTGAAGCACATTTTTGTGTATTACATAGAATGATCCTGCCAGGAAACAGGCCATTCAGCCCAACTAGTGCATGCTGATATTTATACTCCATATCAGCCTCCACCCCTCCTATTCCCTTTTGTCTATTAGATTCTTTGTCTTGTATACATCAAGGTTCCTGTTAAATAATAGACAACTGCACTTTTCATTTTCAATTTAAAAACTGTTTACTGAGTGCCTACCCACTTGGTGGGGGGACTTTGGTAGGAAAAACCTTTGGAAAATCTTGAACATTACCTGACTCATGTTATAATTGGTGGTCAATAATTTGGTTGGTAATCTATGTTTGTGAAGTGACTTATAGTGTTATTATTCAAAATAAAATACATTACTGGTGCCAGTTCTTACAAATACGATGCAAAATACATTTGTGTAGCCCATTTCACATCGGGAGAGCGCCCCAAGGGGCTGGACAGTCAGGGATTTGGTCCGAGCAGTGGGTTCTTGACCTAGAAATTCTCTGTGGTTCCTATATTTACTGTAATTCATTCTGGGACGCTACTCTGTATGAGGGGTGCTATATAAATGGTGATGGTGGTTGTTGTTGTAGGAGTGTAAACTTCCTGCAGCTGAATATGGACAAGACGGAAGCTCTCGTCAATGTCTTCACTCCTGCGGATCTAAACTCCTCAACCTCCCTGGGCTCTCCCTCAGACTCACCGAACCAGTGCGCAACCTAGCCGTCTGGTTTGACTGGGTCTTTCCTCCCCCACATCTGGTCCCTGACCAGGACCGCTTTCTTCCACCTCTGCCATAATGCCCGCCTCTTACCTTATCCCAAATGCATCCAAAACCCTTGTGCATGTGTTTGTCACCTCCTGCTTACATTACTCCAATGCACTTCTTGTTGATCTCTCCAGCTCCATCATTCACAAGATCCAGCTCGTTCAAAACTCTGCTGCCCTCATACTGACCAGGACCAAACTCTGTGCCCACAACTCACCAGTTCTGGCCAGGCTCCACTGGCTCCCCATCACCGAACGAATTGACTTCAAGATCCTCACACTCGTGTTCAAATCTATTCACTCCCTGGCACCTCCCTACCTCTCCGACCTCCTCACTCCCCAATCCACCACCCGGCATCTCCGCTCGACTGGCACTGGCCACTTGCTCGTCCCTCACACCCTCCGTCCCACCATCTGAGGTCACTACTCCCCAAAACTCTGGAACACTCTCCCTCAATCCCTCTGCCTTGCCCCCTCTCTCCTGAAAACTGAAAACTTTCCTGTTCGACTGTGCTTACAGCCATCTCCCCACTCCCCCGGCTCGGACTCAGGCTCCGCCACTGTTAAACGCTCTGTGTGGAGGGTGCTATATAAGTGCAAGTTGTTGCAGTTGATTACAATGATTATTTTTCTTCTTTCCAACCCCTCCTGCAGTTGTTTTTTTGTACCAATGAAATTCTGATGTTATATATTGTTTTTCTTTGTTAGTTTGGTTTGTGATGATTAAACGGTATTTAGTCATCAGCTTGGCTCACTGAGCAGCTCCCTTGCCTCTGGGTAGAAGGCTGGAGGTTCAAGTTCCCCTCGGTGACTTAGCAGTATGGCACTGGGGCAGCACTGAATTGTTGGAGGTGCCGTTCTCCGAATGAGATGTTAAGCTCAGTCCATTAAAAAATTAAACAAAACACTTTGAAAGGAGAAGGGAGTTCCTTCTTGTGTTCTAACCAACAATAAATTGGTCATTCACTGCATTCATAACCAGATAAATTGGTCATTCACTGCAAGGCTCTTTATGGGACATTGCTGTATGCAAATTAACTGCGTGTTCATCTACTTCACTTTACAGCAAATAACTGAAGTGCTTTGCGACATTTTAATACTGTGGGTGAATGAAATACAAGATTTATTTAACATTGCATTTAACAATGTATGTGACACCAATGGAGTCCCGTAGGATATTGGTTAGAGTGCTCACCTTGCAAGCGAGGGGTCCCGGGTTCCATTCCCAGGCGGGGCAAAATCTTATACAAGTTTCATTCATCATTGGGTGCACCTCTGCCCTACCCTATAATGAGTCATCACCACCTAATTATTGCGTGAGTGTTTGATCAACAATAATACTATTTTGAAATTCCATTTTCATACCTCATACAGAACCTAACTTTCATCTCCTTTCTTTGCAATTCACACGCACACACACAAACACCAAATTAATCTTGTTTCTTAAAAACACTGCTGCATTGAAGAGGGTCTAGTTTCATATGCTGAACTTTCAATCATTACACTCACAATATACAGGTATACGCCACATACCTCTGCTTACATAGCAGTAAGTAGGAACCCGGTTGTTAGTAGATTAGTGGATCGCTTTCTGGGGTTTGATAATTCCTTCAGAAGTAAAATAATAATTTGGTCACTCAATCCACAACTGTGGAACAATGCAGTGTGGAATTGGCTGCTGCATTTTGCCCACAAAATACACAGTCCACCTACTTTACAATATATCCTGTGAAGTGTTTTGACATGTCTCGACAGTGTGATAAGACGCTATATCAAATGCAAGGATGATTCTTATTCGAAACCAAAGCCTATACTGAGTAATGTTTGAACATTGCTTTTATACTTGGTTAATGAAGTAGTGCTGTTAAGAACACTATTTGTGAGTTATTAAAATGAAGTCTAAACACCAGTTTGCAAAGGTAATAAAAGTTAGGTTCTGTATGAGGTATGAAAAAGTATTATTATTGTTGGTCAAGCCCTCATGCAACAGTTAGATGGTGATGACTCATTATAGGGTAGGGCAGAGGTGCACCTAATGATGAATGAAAGCATCTTAAGTTACATCACTTAGGGATAGGCCCTGACTTATGTTTTTAGTGCATTCCCTATGCTTCAATATATTTTCTACTTTCCTTTCTAGGAATACTTGACATTTTATATTATAACCACAGGATTCCTTCACCAAACCCTCTGCAA